ACTTCGACTTGCGACCAACTTGACTTGCGATCAGAGTCATGGAACGGATTAAGTTCGTAAGTAGAGGTACCACTGTACTGGGATATAATATCAAATATGCAATCCTAAAAAAATACATTTTTAAAAGATGCAGTATTAAAACAACAACAGTCAGGCAGTGTCCCTATTTTTCTGCACGGTCAGTCTTTTACAAAATTTTTGTATCTGAGAATTTCTGAAGGGAGGATATAAACGTTCTGGGGTACTCTGAAGAATGATTTAGGCAAAGAGAGTTGATATATGTCAAACACACACGCATCTTAAATCTTTGATGGTTGCTTCTTCAAGGGCAGGGTTGAGGCCCTGTTTTGGCGATGTGCTGGAGATCCTACTCTCAAAGGTGGTTCAAGGGGATAGGACAAAAACAGCATTTGAATTAATTCACGGTCTCGTTTCCAGGTGCGGTTGGCTTATACAACATTGGGTTGAGCTGCTGCGTCAACTCATTGCTTCAAAGCTTCTTAATGAACAGATACTTCACTATGATACTCCGGAGGTGAGTGAGGCTTGGAGAGTGCAGTTAATCAGCCTCAACTGAAAGGGGGCTCCTCTTCCAACACCTGGAATCATATAGCACACTTAAATGACGTTGTCATAACAGGTGCGGCACCTGGAAGACCATGGATAATCTTGGAAAAGCTAAGCAAGAGTGGGCCTGGTTAGTGTTTGGATGAGAGACTTCCCCTAGATTAGACCGAGAATGTAATGGTTTGTGGGAATGACCTTGGGAGACAGGAGGGAGAGCCACAGACTGGACAACCGGCGTGTAAAAGGTATCTCAGCCCACGGAAGGAGGGAGAGTGTGAGAAACATTTCAGAAGGGACGCTCCCCAGTTTTCCAGAAAGTAAAAGGAAAGGAAGGGAAAAACTCATTCAAGATTGCAAGATTCTGTTAACATAACCTTACAATAAAGATAGAGCTAGTATTTCTGGTTGTGCTTCTTGTCTGGACTACCTTGCAGGGCTAACGGGGAAGTTGAAACAGACATCCCTGAAAAAGGTGATAGTAAACTTATTAACATATTTTTGCCAAGGAAACAACATGCTCAAGTCCAAGTGGCTATGAGGAGTTAAGTTCCATTCAAGGGAAACCTTGAGGGAATCATGCAACAATGTTTACAGACAGATGAGAACCGGGAAATACCTATTCTTATCTCTTCTCTAACAATTTCTCGGTGAGCTTTTAGGCAAGCCACCTCTCTCAACCTCAGCCTCCCCATCTGCAGAATGGAAAAATTGGTACTAATTTACAGGGAATAGAATGTTTTGGACATTTCCTATTTAACTTATGGCTAAGTATTATGATTAATTGAAACCATGAATGTGTTGTTGCTCCTTTAAACCAAGTGTGCAAGAGCAGTACATTAATATTTAATAAAATATTTATGATTTAAACAAATATTATTTTATTTTATAAAAATAATAAAGTTTTAAATTTATATTTTTAAGTTTTAAAGCTGTGTTTAAATCCTTGGCGTCCTCTCTCTTCTTTACAGTATTGGCAAAACCGTAATATCTGTATAATACCTTAAATATGTCAGGCTTTTATTTCTTTTTTAGGTTTTTGTTGGGACTTGGCCTTAAAGTATGAGCCCAGTTTTTCCTGACTATGGAAGACAATCATATTTTGATTCTTTTCACTGCAGGATCAAAATACCATTTGGAGCAGCAGAACAGAAGGTCCATGTCCCTTACCAAATGCTTCTGCTGTTGGAACAGATGCAGCGGGCCAAGGGAAACTCTGTGTACCCTTGTAATCTTCTCTCCTGCCTTTCCCATCATGGTATCACATGTAAGGAAGATATGGAGCCTCTGGGGTATCATTTGGATGGCATAGCGTTTAGGGATTTATTGGAAAACACATGGTGTTAACTGGTGAAGGCAAAACGTCATTGGTCTTACAGTCAAAAACGGTTTAAAAACATGTAGGGAATTGGAAGCTGGAAGAATATAGTAATGGAAGTAGACGAGAGTATTAGAATTTGGAAAGCTAATGTAGGATTCCTTGTGCTAAATATGGCTGTCGTCTTTTTTGTTCTAGTGTTTGTTCTCCGCGATGCTTCAGAACTCTATTGCAAACTCTGGAACCTAATTAAAGACCAAATCACAAACACCGACCTGGTAAAATCCTAATTTTATAAAGAGAAAATACTTTTGTCGCTATGGTTTTATATAGGCATGATGAACTAATTGATTGTAGCCCCCTTTAAGTAAAGCTCAGTTGCTAGGCTTTTCACTTTCACTTTTCCCAACCTGGTGCCCACCGGAATTGTTGGCTGATGGCAGAATTGATGGTTACCCTGATCAAGGACCTGAAGTCAAAGCAGGTGGTTCCACTTTCTCTTCTGAGAAAGAACAGTAACCTGCCAGAGGCCCTGTCAGAGAGCTGCATATCATTTATTAAAGTAAATCAGCTTAGTTACCATTTTTTTAATCTAGTTACTGATCCATTCATTTTACAACATTTCTGTATGCCCAGCTCATATGATATGAGTGGTTTACAGTGATACAATTAGAAATACAGAAATCCATAACACCAAGTTGAAACTCAGTAGTAAATATAAATAACAATAACATGGTGGCCCATCCATAAAATTCAACAAAAATAATTAAAAATATCATCCACCGGGGGCCTGATTATATAATAATATGAATTTTATCTTGTAATAAGTAGCTGGGAAATAGAATTCTTTAATAGGTTGCCTCATGGACAGAAAAGATAACATCTGGCCTCCCTCTGTTCCTGTCTTCTGTGATGGTTGTCTAGGCATCCAATGAGAGAGATGCTGTTAGTGTAACATGTAGTTTGGCTCTGAGTTTTAAATGGAAGCTTGAATGGAAAACAGCACTAAGGAGATGTGGAATCCTGCTTCCTTTACTAATGTACTGGAAGCCTAAAGATGGCTCTTTCCCAAACATATAATCATTTAATCATAGCTGTTTTTCCCCTTCTGCTCTCTGTTGAATGTAGCAGTGACCTCTGTTGGATATGATTTACTTTGGCCAAGCTGGGGGAGGGAATTATGGGAGCTTCAGTTCTAGCTGTCTGGATACCAGTACGTTGAACATGGCAGCGCATTGCAGTAGATGGCCTCACAATAATGGGAACCAGATAGAATCCATCTGTCAAATTGTGCAATTTGTGCAATACAGCCTTCTCCAAGCTGCTGCCCTCTAGATAAACCTTCTAGACCTTCTGTGTACATGGCAGAAAGAGATTCTTGGATTTGCAGCTTCAGCATGTGGTTGGTATCAAATTAGGAAAGGCTGATACGGAATTACATTTGCTATTGAAGCAATGAAATTGTTCCCTTTTGGGTTCTTCCCACCTCCCCATCCCTTGAAGGTTGAAAAACTGACTCTTCTATATACCATCCATCTGCATCAGCTCCTAGTGTGTCAGAAGTGTTTCAGTGAAACAAAGATAGACAGTAACCAGCTAATGCTTCATCTTCCAATGCTGGATTTTGATTCTCATCCGATTAGGACCCTGGTAAGTTCATTTGGGCATTTTTGAAGGACAAGAAAGTGCAACCAAGTTACTCTGAGGTGGAGACAGGAACCCGTTGAGCAGTGGGCACATCTACTATTTGAAGAACTCATAAAGTGGCTGTTGTGGGACGGAGGTGCATTCATTTAAGTTCTAGAGAATGAGCATTTTGTGATGATTTTTAAAATTTTTATTAGCATATTTTAATTAGTTAATTAATATTTATCTATTTTAATTAATGTTTATTCTATTTTTACTGTAAACCACCCAGACTCACTCCACAGTGAAATGGGCAGTGACAAATTTGAAATATAAATACATTAACAATTTTAAAAAATTGCTTGCTTAATCTTACAGATCCCTTCAATCACAGATGAGTCATCAGTGGCAATAAAGCAAACAAAACAGATAAAGTAAATAATCATAATGAAGTCCAAAACAAAAAATAATAACAACAACTTTCACATTCATCACATCAATATTTTTGGTAACAATCTCCTACTGTAGGAAGGGACCAGTCATTCTGTCAATCTCAGAAACCTTAAGTCCTTGAAGTAGGCAGGTCTTGGCAATTTTGCTTGGTGCCAATCCAGTTGACTGAATCACTGGGGTGTTCTTCACTGTTTCCTTCAGCACTCCCTCCAACAAATGCTGTCTGTGATTTCATCCTTGTAAATAAAGATGAAGCTCACTTTACAACCTGGTAATGGGACAAGAGGCCTGTTGGATACTGAAAGAGAATGGTTGTGGGCACCTTGGTCTCATTAGGGATCATGTTGCCAACCCCTACACCTGGGGCTGAAGTAAATGCGGAGGAAGAATACAGTATGTTAGGTTTTGTAAATTAGGGGGAAAAGATGTGTATCAAAGTATTTATGATCTAGAGACAGTGAATAGGAAGCAAAGCTTTCTTTCTTTTCATAGGATCAGAATAAGGGTCATCTAGCGATGCAGTTGGTGGAAGATTGAAGACAGTGTAAAGGAAGTAGACGGCTGCTAGTGGGATCTCTTTCATAATCCTAATTCCAAATTAGGAAGTGTGAAACTTGACAGTGTGGAAACATTTTCCCCAGCTCATCCAGGAATGGTCCAGCAGTTTTCTTGATCTTCCAAACTGGAAACACTTTGTTGAGTTCCAATTCACATATTTGTGGATTTGAAAATGCACATGAAGTATAACAGTAGATGAACGATAGGTGCTTCATAAAGCTGATTCATTACCTTGGGTAGGCAATAAAGGGGCATTTTCAGAGGCATTACCCTTTCACATTGCCATTGGTGATTGGGAATGATGGAAGCTATAGTCCAACTCTTCTGGAGAATTGCAGGTTGGGAAATGCAGCTTTGTGGCTTCAATTTAAGTGGAAAGTGTTAAATATGGGATGCATTGGAAGGAACTTATCTCTGTTCTTGATTTCTACAATCTATTACTTCTCTTTTCCTAGGAAAATTCACTCCGCTGCTTTTTCAGACCAGAGGAATTAACTAAAGCAAATATGTGTCACTGTGAGCAGTGTGACAAGAAAACAACACATCTGCAGGTAATGCTGTGTTTTGGGTGGGGTAGGAAGGGTTATTTTTTGCAATTTCATGCTCTTTATATTTAAGGGTTAAATTATTTGTCTAAGATAATAATATTATGTCTCTTTACGCCTGGAAAAATTCCACAAGGCAGCTCCATGGTTCTTGTCAAACACCCTGGAGGAAGTCTTGCTTAATATTAAGACCCAGATTTTTGGCCATCCTGGTTGATAATTTTGGAAATTAAAGTCCAATTGGAGAAGTCCCCTCTTTGTATCTTCTTTATGTTGGCTGCAATGTACCATTTTTTGCTTTCAGTGTTGGGATGTGCTTGTTTTGCAGGGGACGAAAATAATGTATTTGCCACAAACGTTGACGTTGCACCTCATGCGCTTCTGTTCCAAAGAAGGCAGCAGAACTAAGAAAATCAGACATAGTTTGGACTTCCCACAAACACTAGATTTCAGCCAGATCCTGACACCGGAACAGTATCATCCAGATGCCAAAAAGAAGGTAGGATGTTTCCTCTGGCATTAAGGCTACTTTAATTCAGGGTGAACAGTTGAAATCTGAGGGGTAAATCCAGTCCTTGAACCCCAACTCATGGTTCTTAAAACCCCCTCCAAACATAGATGCCCAAAATTGGTGTTCCAGACCAGGAGGAGGAAACAGCCTTTTTCCCATGGATTTCCCCCAATCAAGGCTGTCAGTCCGAACAGAACTTCCTGACACCCTCTAATCCAGTGTTTCTCTAACTTGGCAACTTGAAGATGTGTGGACTTCAACTCCCAGAATTCCCCAGCCAG